CAGTTTCACCTTTATTTTACACTTATTGTACAATTAGAGGACAAGATCTCCCACCCCTGAAGACTTGGTAACTGTTAAGTTTTGGCTTTGGAATTCTTAGGAAAGAAATAGGAAAAATCACCAACATGCTTGGTTGGCAGTGAGTTTGGGGTGAGGTAATCCTAGGATCCTTGAATTCCCTTTTTCCAAAATATGGAAAATGAGTGGTTGTCACTGGTGATGGCATAGTTGTTGCTGCTCCAGAATAAGGAGGGAGAAAGTTGTTCTATGACACATCAGTGTCCTGGGCTCAGTCAGAGTGACCTTGTCCCCAGAGTGGTGTCAGAGCCCCCAGTTTGCAGATAAGGCTGTGACTGCCCCCCCACTTCCTTCCTTCCTTCCTTCCCTCCTTCCTTCCTTCCCTCCTTCCTTCCTTCCCTCCTTCCTTCCTTCCTCCCTCCCTCCCTCCGTCCCTCCCTTCCTTCCACTAAATATTAAGCATTTACTGTGAGCTGGCACTGTGCTGATCCCTGGGATGCAGAGGGACTGAGGTGTGGACCCTGTCTCCACTGAGGAGCTGACAGTCTGGCAGGGGAGGCCCCTACATGGACCAGCCACTGAATGCAGAAATAAGCACGGGAAGCATTGCTGATCCGGAGGAGGGAGTGGCAAACTGTTCAGAAAAGCTCCATGGGGATGGCCACACTCCTGTGAGGGTTTGAGGATGTGTGAGAGCCCACTGAGCATGGGAGCATCGAGGTGCCCTGGAAGCAAAGGGCAGAGAGCATGTGCCCAGGAGCAGTGGGAGACAGTGGAGAGCGGGCCTCATCAGAGACTTGGAGCCTCAGCATCCCCTCTGCGGCAGGCGTGGCTCTGGTGGAGGCTGGGGAGTTCATCCAGGACTCCGAGAAGTGGCCCTGATGTTCCAAGTGGGAGATGACGTGAGCTGGAGAGCCAGAGAGGAGGGGTGTGTTTAGCTCTTAAAGAAGCCAAATCTACCAGGCGTGGTGACTGAGGGTGAGGGAAGGGAGGAGTTAGGGGTGACTCCCAGGTTTTTGGCCGAAACCTCTGGGTGGAGGGGGAGGAAGCTGGACTGGCCCCCAGCCGGTTGGTTCCCAGCCCAGGCATGGGATGCAGAGCTTCCTCTCGTAGCTGCTGGGCTGTGAGGGAGGTAACGCGGCCTGTGTAGCATGAGCAGCTCTGGCCTGAGAGCCCAGTGATGCTGACTGTGCTGCTCTGCCTGGAAGAGTAGAGAAGAAATGGCCCCTATTTAAGGGGCAGGAGGGGCGGGGGCTGTGCTGCCAGCAGCAGTCAGGGCTGGTGTTCTTTTTCTTTCTTTTTTTTTTTTTTTTTTTTTTTTTTTTTTTTTTTTTACTTCTGTTTACTCATGGGAGAAAAGAAGCAAAGCTTTGAGAGCAGGGAACTTCAGAAAGGCAAAATATCTCTGATTACTGTGGGAGCTGGAGAGAGCTCTTGCTGGAAAACTCAGAAGGCTGGCTGCAGAGGGAGAGCCCCGCTGGGGAGTCTGGCAGGAAGCCCGGGAAGGTTTGAGCACCAGAGTGAGATTCAATGATTTATTTAAAAAAAAAAAAAAAAAGACATTCTAATCAGTCTTCTTATAATCAAACAGACTAGCTTCTTTGTGATCAGAGCTAAAATGATGAAAAAAATACCAAATTGGACCTTATCATTCAATTTTTTAGGATACTGTTACATAGTATCAGTTTATGTTGTTCAAACGTCACTATTTTTTTTAATTTAAAAAATCATCTTTGCTAATGAAAAAGGGATAGCAGAGAACTTGGTTTGACTGAACAGTCAGGGTGGAACACCCACAGGAAACCCAGTAGAATGTGTATGAGGCATGTCTCACCTCTTTGGAGGGACTCTTGTTCTGGGATCCCTGGAGCCTCAACAGGCCTGTGAGAGAATTCAGAGGGTCAGTGAACTTGGATGGGAAAAAAGTTGCATCTTTACTTTGACCAAGTTCTAATAAATTTTGTTTTTATTATGAATGAAATATTCAGAACACAATAGTATTAGCAATGTTTGTTACCATTAGAAATCACAGCTCTTTTCATATTGCATTATAATTGTGGCAGATATCTGAAAATGTCATTTATGCTTATCACTACTTTGGATTTATAGTCGTTTTTAGATCCACCACCGTGTGACAAGATCCAATGCCTTATTGAACAAGTACCATTACTATATTACAATTTTTTTTAATATGGGTAACTGTACTGCAGTATAATTGGCTTTCTTTTTACTCCTATGCATTGTGTCTCCATGCATTGAAAAACATTGTTATGCACAGGTTTCATCAGCTTCACAACTGATGCACAGGTTTCATCAGCTTCACAACAAAGAGGCCCGTGGCACATGAAAGGTTAATAATCCCTGGCTAAGATCCTGTAGTTGTGACATGAGACCTCCACCTGGTGGCAGCATACTCCTTAAAGGTTAAATCGATAATCAACATGGAAGAAACTTTTAAAATAACAGTGTATTTGAATATGGTTTTCAAACATTTTTGACCACAACCCACAGTGAGAAATAGGCTTTATATCATAACTCAGTACACTCATACCTAAGTTTCACAAAACAAGACTTAACTTTATCATGTGATACATTGATATTTTTTTTTAATCCCATTTCTCTTTCATTAAAATAAAATGCTGGTTGCAGCTCACTAAACTGTAGTTCTGTGGGTGACATTGCGCTGTTTGACATTGTAGGAGACCATTTTTCATTATACTTTATGATTTATTACCCAGGGAAGTTCACTTTGTTCTCCCCCAAAATACCCACACATTTTCAAGGACATAATACTTACATTTTAAATATATGTCAACAAATATGAGTATATTTTTACACAGTACTTAAAAAATCATTTATTATTGATATGTAACGTGTATACAGGGAAACGAGCTGATCTTAATTGTATAACAAGACATAGAACATTCCCCAGTCAATTTCTCCCTGAGCAATCACTGTGCTGATTTCTTTGACCATAGATTTAATTTTGCTTTTCTAGAACTTTATATAAATGGAATCATGAAGTATGTATTTTAGCCTGGCTTTGCTCAGTGCAATGATATTGATATTAGTCTGTGTTGAGCGGATCAGTAGTTTGGTGAGGAGGGTTCCATTGCATGAATATACCGCAATTTGTTTGTTCTCCTGGTGAGAGACTTTCGGGTTGTCTTCCATTTCGATTCTTGCAAATAAAATATCCACACACATTTGTGTACATTTCTTTGTGTGCATATATGTTTCATCTCTCGCAGGTAAATACCTGAGGTGGAATTGCTGCCTCAGATGGTAAAATAAATACGTGTTTAACTGTAGGAAACTGACAAACATTTGCTAGGGTGGTTGAACCATTTTCCATTGCCACGAGCAGTGTGTGAGTTTGGGTCACTCCCCATCCTTACCAACATTTGGTGTGCGTCAGTCTTTTTCACTGCAGTCGTTGTGGTAGGGGTGTAGTTGTATCTCTTGACAGTGTTAATTTGTATTTGCTTGATAAGCGATGATGTTGTACACTTTTTTTCATGTGCCTATTCACCAGTTGTTTGTCTTAATTATGAAGTGTCTGTTCAAGGTTGTTTTTCTTTTGTTTTTTTAACGTCAATTTGTAGAAGTATTTTTTACATATTTTGGACACCAGTCCTTTATGTCAGACATGTGCATTTATGAATATTTTCTCCCAGTCTATGGCATACATATCCATTTTATTAATGGTGTCTTTTGATGAGCAGAAGTTTTAAATTTTGATCAAGTCCAGTGTGCTGATTTTTTTTTTTTTTATAATTAGTGCTTTCTGGATCCTGTCTAAGAAATCTTTTTCTACCCCAAGTTTGGGAAGATAGATTTGGTTTTTTACATTTAGGTCTGTGATTCATCTCAAATCAATTTCTGTGTATGGTGTGAGGTAGGTGTCGAGTTTCATTTTCTTTCCATATTATATCTGGTATTCTCACACCGTTTGTTGGAAAAAAAATTTTTTTTTCACCACTGAATTATAGCACAGAATTAAAAAAAAAAATTGTTTGGCCAAAGAGGTACAAAAATGACTTTCCCTGCTGGCCATAAAGCAACCCACAGTGCTTTTCTAAGTTAGTTCATCCACAGTTATCTTGAGATTCTCAGCTTACTTTACTCTTACGGTATGAGGGTTTATGAAGCTACACGTTTTTACAAGGTCTGTAGCCATGCTGCAGAGCTGCTAGCTACATGTGGCTGTTTAGATTGAAATTAAATAAAATTAAAAGTTCAGCTTCTCAGTCACAGTAGCCACATTTCAAGTGCACAGTAACCACATAAGCCTATTGGCTTCCCTATTGAACAGTGCAGATAGAGAAGATTTCCATTTTTTCCAAAATGCTAGACAGCACTAGCCTATCAAATAAGAAAGGAGACAGGCTTTGTAGCATATTTTAATAAAACTCATGTAGTTTTCATAACTGTCATTTAGCATCTGCCTTCTGCTCTTTGGTTCTTTTTCATTTGTCCGTGCTTCTAGTTCTAGTCCAAGATGTACGGTTCCAGCCAGTCCATTTGTCTGTCTAAAAATGCAGTAACTTCTGTCTGTTCTCGCCTATTTGGAAGAAAGAATTCCCCTGGCCGTCCACGGACTCATTCTTTTCTGGAGCCTACCTCGTACTGACCTATTTAACTTTTCTCAGTGTTTAATAGCCTTCCAACTGCTGCCAGATTTCTGGGCATCCTCCTTGAAGGTGCGGCCCAGAGATAGATATTTTGTCTTTCCTATCCTGATTAAAATTAAGTCTCTCAAAAAAAAAAAAAAAAAATTAAATCTCTCCCTAGCATTTCTAGCATAAATTATAAACTTGCAAAAAGCATCGGGTTATGAGTTTTACCCCGCCCCATATTAACGTTTCTGTCCAGTAGTGAACTTTGTTGCCGTTTCATCATGAGCAACCACATAGGAATTTGTGAGATTTTCTCTCATTGTTTGCTGGGCGTAAGCTAACTCTACCATTAATGTCTTTCAGTGTGGGAATTTTGCTGTCCTGGTGGATCTTCATATATCTCCGCAAGGTTCAAACAAAGATACCAGCTGGTTTTCTGAACAGAAGAAAGAGGTACCAGAAAACTTTTCACTATTTTATAAAATTGAAGTATAGTTGATTTACGGTGTTTCAGTTGTACAGCAAAGTGATTCAGTTATACATACAAACACACACACACACACACACACACACACACACACACACGTACGTATTCTTTTTCAGATTCTTTTCCTTTATAGGTTATTACATGATATTTTTTTTAATAAATTCTTTCAGGATTTATTTCATTAGTAGTGGAATTAGTTCTTCTTTTTTTTTTTCTTTTTGGCTGCACTGGGTCTTTGTTGCTGTGTGCAGGCTTTCTCTAGTTGCGGCGAGCGGGGGCTACTCTTCGTTGCGGTGCATGGGCTTCTCATTGCAGTGGCTTCTCTTGTTGCAGAGCACAGGCTCTAGGAGCATGGGCTTCAGTAGTTGTGGCACTTGGGCTTCAGTAGTTGCAGCACGCGGGCTCTAAAGTGCAGGCTCAGTAGTTGTGGCGCACGGGCTTAGCTGCTCCGCGGCATGTGGGATCTTCTTGGACCAGGGATCGAACCCGTGTCCCCTGCTTGGCAGGCGGAGTCTTTAACCACTGCGCCATCAGGGAAGTCCTATTACATGATACTGAATATAGTTCCCTGTGCTGTCCTTAAAACTTTTCACTATTTTAAATGCAATGAGCTGCTCTTAAAAGGAATATTAGCTCTTCTTCCAGCTTTCATTTTCATTAGTGGACAATAAATCTTGAGTGCTATTTAATCCTTGAAAAACAGTTGTGTTCCCCACAACAGACATACACCTGCTTTTTTGTTGTTGCTGTTTCTTCGGAAACTGACACATCTATTTCCTTTGCTATTCTAGTATTTAAACCAGAAATTTCCTACCTCTTTGTTTGGGGGAAAGGGTTCTTTGTATTAAAAAAAGAAGAGGTTGGGGCTTCCCTGGTGGTGCAGTGGTTGAGAGTCCGCCTGCCAATGCAGGAGATACGGGTTCGTGCCCCGGTCCGGGAAGATCCCACATGCCGCGGAGCGGCTGGTCCTGTGAGCCATGGCCACTGAGCCTGCGCGTCCGGAGCCTGTGCTCTGCAACAGGAGAGGCCACGACAGTGAGAGACCCACGTACCGCAAAAGAAAAAAAATAATAAAAAAAAAAGGAGTTAAAGTGACTTTTCCAGGTAAGCAGGGACTGTAATCCTGACTGGCCGTAAAGGATGGACTGAGCACCTGGAGCAGGTGTGGGGTTGACACAAAGCTGGTCTTTCTCACCGGTCTGAAATCCTCTTCTGCACCGTGTGATCCTTTGACAAAGTGTAGAGATGGTTGATCACGGCCCTCGTCTCGCCGTGGCAAGTCACTAAGCTGATGCTCAGTCAGTAAAGGAAGTGGTCATGTGACAGGGTGGCGATGTTGGACCTCCTGGGGCCCCAGCCTCCTCATCTGCAGATGAAGGGGTTCTCCCAGACCCTGGCTGAGTCACTCCCGGCTCTCAGTTTCCGAGGTCCCACCCAAGTGCCACTGTGGCAGAGGGTGAGAAGGTGCCTCTAGCTCTCATCACGTGCTTGGCTCCCTTCTCCAGATCCCTGCTTACAGGAGAGCAGGACGGTGAGCCTGTGGCTTTCACATAACTTTCCAAATGTTAGAGCCCTTGGTGTCTTCCATGATATTCGTTGGTCACAATAGCTTTTTAGAGCTAGAAATAAAAATACATTTTATTAAAAGGTAGTATATGGAGAAGAAACTAGTGATAGTGGTACTTTTTTATACCACTTTTTTACGCCTTTACTGTGATAACTGTTTTCAGTCAGCTTTTGGAGATAACTAGTAAAGAAAACTCCCAAAAGAAAATTTATAAGTGATACATTCTCGGTCAGGAGATAATAGTATCATCAGGACTCTGTGGTCCTCATTTTGCGAAGGATACCCAATGGCCTGAAGCTAGAGCAAGGAGGCCCAAGATTCTGTATGATGGGATTTTCGTTCAGGTAAATAGCCGTGAACCATACTCTTCAGGGCTTAACGTTTGACAAGCCAGCATCTCCTTCTACAACTCACCTTCATGTCATTCCAAGCTTTGGCTTCTCAACACCTGTCCCTGTGATTCAAAATAGTTAATTCATTTCCCCAAAGTGACTAATACGCACCCCAGGGGACCCCACCCAAAGAGTTTGACTTACATAAACAGCATCCTAGAATCCACCATTCCATTTTCCTCTATTCTCTCCCAGCTCTGCCACCACGGCCTTAGACCATTTTTGTTGATATTTAGTCAATTTTGCCAAGATTCAGTTGATTTGGAAGGCTCTACAATAAATCTGTGGGTATGTGACTCACTTCCTAGCCAAAGCGTAAGGCTAGAATTTTCCAGGGTGCCACAAGCAACTGTGCTGCTCCACCTCGTACCTATGTCCGGGCAGCAGGGCGTGACTTAGCAAGATGCTCAGAGCACGATTAGACCTGCAGAGCTCCGATGCAGTGCCAGCAAGCTGAGTTTTCCTCTCAAAGCAAAGTAGATAGTTTGTGGCTTTTACTGAAGTTGTTCCTTCAAAGTGTGTTCACTGACATTAAAATCGTTCTGGGATAATTTGTGTGTGTGTGTGTGTGTATGAGAAAGAAGAAAAGCTAGTTGAGGATATGACTTTAGCCTATGTTCAGTGTCCCAATGCTTTCATCTTTTCTTAATCATTAGATTATCTCAAGACAGGGATTTCATGAGCAATCAGTTTGATTGCATTTTAACAGTCACTTTGTGTAGTGAAAGTGTTAAGAATATCCAGTTCCTTTTTAGGAAAAGGAACTAATTACATGTATCAAACATGTGTTTATTTTGAGTCCAGCATGAGTAGTCTTTGTACCCAAACAGTTGAACTCAAACTGTTCCATTTGTAAACCTGGGGAAGCACACATGAACCCCTGTTAGCCTGGAGATGTCGGGCGCATCTCTTGCTCCTTGACTGGGACTTGGTCTTCTTGCCACCTCTCCAGTTTAGCTGGGAATTTGTCTTTTCTCGCCTTGCTCTAGTTCTTGAAGAGAACACTTCGCCAAGTGCAGTGTGGTCACTTACTAGGGTATCTCGACCACAGCGCACACTATCTACCTTCCATTTGTCAAACCTGACTCATGGAAGGAAAGCCCCGTAACTCTAGGGAGAGAGTTTGTGTGTATGGGCCTTGGCTTTATTTTTGTCATACTATTTTTAGTTCTGGCCTTATAGGGCATTTATGGCCAAATTTTAACAATCCTTGTTTCCATGTATGTCTTTCACATATTTTCTAGCTCAGTCATCGTTGAACCCTGCATGTGAAGCAAAATTCTTTAATTGTTAAAGCAACAGTATGAGACAAGGCTGCCTTTCTGTTGCGTGAACAATGCCAAAACCCTAACTGTAAACGAATACGGCTGTATTCCACAAGGCACTGCATCTTTGGGCTGCAAAATGACAGCAGGAGAGAGGACACCAGTGTTTGTATTTTATCAAGAAACTCATGTTTGTCAGTTAAGTCAAGGGTTCTCTGTACTGTTTGAGGAGTACACGTATTTGCAACAAAAGAAAAGTTTGGCTCTCGTTGCCCTTTGAAGCAGCTTACAACTCTGTCCTCATTTTAATTTATGAAGATTCTAAGAGATCAACCTGAGATGGCATTGCCAGAAACCAGTGAAACAGGTTTGAGGTGACCTGGAAACTCTGAGCCTTCTGCAGCGTCCTTGGGAACTGAACCAGAATTACCCATCCTTACGCATCAGTTCTTAATCTGAGTTAAGAAATTTAGATTTGTGGGCAATTTTTTCCTTTCCCTGCATCAGGTAACATTTTTCTGGTAGTGTAGCTGGAATGGGCAGTGTCATCCCATTGTGTGGTTGGACTTTTAAAGTTTTGTTTTTCTCTTTTTCAATAACACCGATACGTAAAATGGTAGCTCCAGAAATTTGCTAGTCGTATGGGATGCTGACATTGAATTAAAACCCTGTGTTTCTGTTGCCTAATAAATATTAGTCTACTTTTGAGCAATATAAGAAGTTAAATTATTTTTACCATGAATAGGTGAACATAGTACAGTTTTCACAAAAGCATATACAGTATCATCAACAAGTATGAGAAGAAAATCAGACTCCTGATTTCCAGTTCGCTATTCAACCCACCACTCAGTGCTATTCCTTTTTGGTAGATTTGTAAATCCCAGAAACTAATGAATTATGGTGGTTAGGTATTAAAAGTTTTTTGGACCAAGTTTGAAAAGTGGGAAATTTTTGTATAAAAATCACTGTCTCTAGTTCCTCTTAAACAAATTGGAAGATCTGGTATCACTGTGCCTTGTGTCTCCATATGAAAGCACGGGGGACTGCCCCCTGTTGACTACTTTGGGGTCGGGGTTCCCTCTGACTGTGCCTTGGCTCCCAGCTTCTCCCAGTCCACAGTCCCCACCCAGTGGGCCTGGCTCTGGGGCTACCATCTCCAGCCAGAGTTGGCTCTGTTTGACTTCTCTCTTCTGTTTGTCACAATCCCACGGGTTGATATTTACATGAAAACAGTCTTTACCTCTCTGTTATTGTCACCTCATCGCCCTGATTTTTACATTGAAGTGCTTTTATCTTCCTTTTAGAAATGTGAAACTGAGGCAGAGAGAAATGAAATGTATTTCTTATATCACAGAGTAAGCCAACATCATGGTTTCAAGCAAAGCTCAGTGGCAAATTTAAATCTGCAGCATTATCCATGAGCACATATAAGATTCCTTTATTCATTCGTAGCTAATTTAAAGAGCAAACAAAATGAAATGTTTGATTTTGGTGTTTAAATATGCATGATATTGACTTTTTTTGCATTGCATTAAATTAGAAAGTTATATCTAATTTTCTGATTTACTTTAGGAAGTCTGTTTACTGTTAAAAGAAACCATTGATTCAAGAGTGAAGGAATACTTAGGAGGTCGTAAACAGCACAGGCCGTCAAATACAGAATTCACAAGATCCAATCCCTTGTCCTTGAAAGGTAGGAATGGAGTACTTTGATTTTGGATAAAATTTCTGCTTTGTAGAGATGGCAGTTATGTTTGACTCTGACTGTCACGTTAGTACAGTGATACATTTTTAAAAAATATGTTCTATTGAAGATGCATTCATTACGTAAAACAAATTAACCGGAAAGCCCTGAAGGGCTTTTAATGGTAGGCAAAATACATAAAAATAGAAAATAAACATTCCTAAGTAAGCTATAAATTCTTTAAAGGATTTTTTTTTTTTTTTTTTTTTTTTGACAAGTAGTCTTACAGCTGGGTTTACGTTAACACTGACTTGATTTGGGGCTTTATGCTTTTCTAAGTGCTTTCATTTATGTCACCCTATTTCAGAAGTTCTCACCTGGGGGTGCTTTTGCTCCAGGGGACATTTGGAAATGTCTGTGACAGTCTGGGTTGTCATAGCCATGGAGGGGAGCTACTGGCATCTGGTGGGTAGAGGCCAGGGACGCCACTAAATATCCTACAGTGGCCAGGGCAGCTCCCCTCAGCAAGACACTATCCCCCAAAATGTCAAGGGCACTGAGGTTGAAATATCCCACCCTGTTATCCTAATAACACTTGGAGAATGGTCATAGCCTCGAGTTATGGGTGAAGATGCTGAGGTTGCGAGATTAAGGGGGTTGCCCAAATAAAAGATCATCTTCTCGAGGACGAAGATTATGTCGTGTATCTGGCATCTTCCCTTCTCCTCTCCCTGCTCCCAGCACTTAGCTCAGTGCCTGATGCACAGATTCATATTCAGCATATTCAGGGATACATTGAATATGGAGGAGGACTTGGGTGACAAGCAGCAGAACCTGACCCCCCAGCCCAGTGTTCTCTCCACTCTGTCATTGTGGTGTTTTTAATTTTTTTATTTTAAGTTAGCATTTCATGGCACTCTTTGTAGTACACTTAACAGTCAGCGCATGTTAATCCTCAGAGGACAGCACTGTAGTGCTGTGAACTAGATTATGCTAATGCAACACCTCTTTAGGGAAAG